GTGGTGGGGTAGTTCCCCAGGAATGCCAAGCCAGTTGCCTCCCCAGTGAAAGGTAGGTAGGGGCATCTTATAACCCCAGCTCCCACTACTCAGTGGGTAATTTTAGATCTGGGACAGGCAGTGGGACCAGGAAACTCTGTGGGTACCTGAGCCCATGGGGTGTAAGATCCCAGAGGCCCCAGTGAGGGGGCAAAAGTATGTATGGAGGCCCACACAGAGTAGGGTGCGCTGTAGCACTTGAAGGGCTGTGCATTGGGGTGTAGAGTATGGTCTGAACAGGCAGGCCTGAAGGGCTGCACCAGGGGGTGTACAGTAGAATTGCTTGGGTGATTTGAAGGGTTGCACAGGGGCCAACCCCAACAAGAGTGGAAAACTTGGATCAGTTGCCTGGTGAGGGGATAGGAGCAGATCTCAGCCCAGTGTGAGGCATAAGACCAGTGCCATGTAGAGTAGGGTTGCTTGAGTGATGTGAAGGGCTGCATGTGGACCAGATAGAGTGAGAGTAGATAAGCCTGATGATCTGAGGGGGCTGCTCATGGAGCAGAGTGGGTTGTGAATGGCCCAGTGAGGGGCAGTACAAATGAGATCCAGTAAGAGTGGGCAGGATGAAAGAGGTCCCTGTGAGAGGGGGCAGTATGTGTGAGACCCAGAAAAGGGCAGAGTGTGAGAGGCTTAGCAAGGAGCAGAATTTGGCTGAGCCTTGCACCAGAGTTATGAACAATTTATGATGCCATCTGTGAAGCATTGGACATGGAGTAGGGGAAGTTGGAGCCATGTATAACACCCCAGACATCGAAGCATCAAATGGGAAGCCTCCTGCATATTTACATCTAATTTATTACAGCAAGTCATGGCAGGAAACACAGGGCAGTCTGCCGTAGATAGGTTGGTGGGTCAATGCTGAGACCTGACCCCGAGTGAGCCCCCTGTCAGACTAGACTGGGGTGAATAAGCTGAATATGAGCCAACGGTGTGCCCTCATTGTAAAGAAAGCTAATGGCATACTAGATTGCATTTGTAGGAGTGTTGCCAGCAGGGTGAGGAAGTGATTATTTCTTTCTATTTGGCACTGGTGAGGCCACATCTGGAGTACTGTGTCCAGTTTTGAGCCCCCCACTGAAGAAAAGATGTGGACAAATTGGAGAGAGTCTAGTAGAGGGCAGTGAAAATGATTTGGGGGATAGGGCACATGACTTCTGAGGAGAGGCCGAGAGAACTGGACTTAATTAGTCTGCAGAAGAGAAGGCTGAGAAGCCTTCAACTACCTGAAGGGTGGCTCCATAGAGGATGGAGCTGGACTGTTCTCAGTGGTGCAGATGACAATGAAAGGAGTAATGGTTTCAAGTTGCAGCAAGGGTAGGTTAAGTTAGATATTAGGAAAAAACTTTCTGACCAAGAGGGTAGTAAAGCAGATTACCCTGAGAAATTGTGGAATCTCCACTCTTGGTGGCTTTTAAGACCTGGGTAGACAAAGCCTTGGCTGGGTTGATCTAGTTGGGGGTGGTCCTGCTTTGAGCAGGGGGTTGGACTAAATAACCTTCTGAGGCCCCATCCAACCCTTATTTTTATGATTCTATGACCCCAGAGTTGTAAAGGTGAAGAAGCAGCTGCTGATCCATTCCTTTGGAGTGGTAGGGGTTGTGCAGCCTCTGCCCTACACAGAAACCCCAGTCTGGGGAATGTGTGGGGAACCTTTCCCTATCACTCTCTATGTTCTCGAAATCAGAGTCATCTCTGTTTTACGGGGGGGGGCGGGGGAGAGTAGTGCCATACCAATGAAGTTTGGCACTCAGGGCAAAGCACGCAGAAGCAGCCCACCCTCACCCTGCACATGGATCCGGGGCAGGGGGGAGGCACATGCCTACCCCTAATGCTTCCCCAGGAGTGCATGCAATGGTGGGAGCCAACCCCCACCATCTCCACGCCCCCCAGATGAGCTTCTTGTGGCTCTATCCTGAGCCCTGCCCCAGCTGGGCAGTGCCTGTTGATGCCCCCTTGCTTCAGCACCTGGGGCAGTCACCCTGTTCACCCCTGCAGCACTGGCTCACCCTGCCCATGCCATGCACTACGGCATGGGCGGGGAAGGGGTGTGTGTTTTCTGCTCCTTCATTCCTCCTGGGTACTGGAAGGAATGAAACAGCAGTTGCTCTCCCCATCCTCCCCAGACCCAGGTTAGCCCCCGCCCCTCCTAATCATTCCACCTTTCCGGGAGTAGAGCTGTTGAAGTATACAGATGTTTGTTCCTGCATGAGAACCTCTGCCAGGCAAGATCTGCCTTGTTGAAAGAGGAAGATCTTTCCCCTGTTTCCAGAATGTTTCTTGCAGAAGAAATATATGAATTCTTTCATGCTTCCAGTTTCTAATGGAAGAAAAGTATTCTTCCCACTACAAATGTAGCACTTTTTCTTGCCCTTTCAGTTTGTTTCTGGAGTGTCTTCATGGAAGCCTAGCATAAATGTCACAGTGTCTACCCTCTACCCAGCCCCAGAAAGCCAAGAGTATTTATGTGTAATACAGCAGCCTGCTGTCAGCCAGAGTATGCTAATGAAGAGTAGTAAATTTATTTATTAATTTTAAAGTGCAACAGCTTCAACAGGAATAATTGTATACAAGTATCCTAATCACCAAGCTAAGGATAATGAGTGTTTCTCAGTGTGGGTCATCCAAGTTCAACTGCTTGATTCAGAGCAGGGACTCAAGTCTTCATTTTTCAGATCCTAGTAAATGACCTACCCATTGGAGCAGACCTTTCTGTGAAAAAAGAAAGTCTTTATCTTGGCATTTCTGTCTTTTTTCACTAAAAACTTTCAACAAGTGATTATTTTGTCCTAGCAAAGAATGGGAACAATCTCATGAAATCTTGTAAATTTTTACTGGATGGAAAAATAGTTTCTAGTTGTGTAACATCTGTAGCGAGCCCGACAATGTGGAAGAAATGAAACATATTTTAATTTTGTTTTGAAAACATTAGAGAAGTAAGAGTTTACTACCTTCTTTGATAAGCTGTTCCAGTATTCAGTTATCTCAGGCGTTTTTACTCTGTCAACAATTTTTGCCTTATTTCGAGTCCGAATTTTTCTAGCTTCAACTTTTTACCAGTAAATCTTGGGAAGTTCCCCATCTACTATAATATGTGTTAGATCAGGTCATAAATGATCAAAGTGCAGTATTATTCCTGATATGTTGTCTTTTATGCAAGTGCCATGATTGCAGTTGCTTGTGAAATACTAATGGAGAGGAATAATTTATCTGATATTATAAACTTCTAAGTGCAGAAAAGCTCTGATCTATTGTTGTTAATATAATCTTAAAAATACCAGTGCAATTACTGGCATCAGAAGCTATGGAGATAAAAGCCATACTATATTTAAAACAGTGAAACAGCATCATGTATAAAGTCGGGCCAGGAAAATACTATAGCATTTACTAGCTGCATTGAGCTTTTTGCTTGAAGTCTTTGTAATTTAATGAAACTGAACTGTTTTTAAGATGGAGAAATGTATTCTAACTATATACTGACCCTGAATCACATTATTTTATATTTTGAAATATGTTTCAACTTACTTAGCAATTCTTGCAAGTTATATATTTGCCATGAGACCTGACCAGAAATGATACAAGATCCTAGATGCTGAGCTCAAAAACTGAAGGGAAAAAAAAAAAGCACCAGGAATCTATGCTTCACAGTTTATGAAGTGCCAAGAAGGAAGAAAAATAAACTAACATCATATCCCCAACACATGCGGACTTTATACTGAATCAATATAACAACATTGACTAGGACTATTTATAGATGCTCAGACTATGCCCTCTGTATCGCCTGCATAAAACAGCCCTAGGAGTAGCATACCTGGCATGGGTAGATCACTCCTGAGCAGGGACAAACCTCCAGTGTCAAGCAATCACTCTAGCAGCTCCTATGTAAATCTCACTTCCTGATTCAGCATCAAGGGCACAGACAGTGCAAAGAAAGTGAAGCCTGTACTTCTCCACCCCAGAGTCGTCCCATTGGCAGCTGGTGCATTATAAAGCAATCTCCATCTGTTCTAATTTACACTAGGTAGAAAGCCAGTCTGGAAATGCAGGAGTACAAAGGTGGTTAAAATCACCTTTGTGCACACTTCCATTTCTGGGTGCACTATATTCTTCTCAGATGAACTGAAGGATCAGGGTTAGGTTTCCTGTTTCTGGTGTGTGTATGTTTCATTTGTTTCTTTCTTATTTTTTTCCTAATTTTTTATTTCTTTCCTAATGTGCCTAAATCTTTCTGTTCCCCCCCACCCCCCCAATTCCCTGATATTACTTTTAGGGAAAAAAATATACTTCATTGCTTAAGAAGGAGAATTTAGCATTGGTTTATTTTTTAAAGTTTATGTTTGCTTCTAAGCAATAATATATATATTTTTTAAAGCATTGGCAAAAAAGAAAAAAAATCTTATTGCCTCTTATTATCTCATAAGCATCTTATGCTTGATGCTTATGAGGCAAACCTAAAGCGCACTTTTTTTGCAAGCCTTGGGAAAGGAGGGCTCTGAAAAAGTACTTGGTATCCTTTTCTTTTTCTTTTTTCTGTGAGTCTTTTAGAATGAAGTGCACAACCATTAAGTGATGTCATGGGTTTAAAACACACAAGCGGGTTGAGAAACATAGATATGAGTTGGGATCCCAATGGGAATATAGCCAAGCTATGGGCACACTTCCATTGAACATGGAAAATCCCATTAGTCTAGCTGACATAGAAACTAGGCCTGTGCGAATAGAGAAGTATTCAATTCAGATTCTGCAGATTCAGAGGACAGTGATTCGATTCAGAGATTCAGATCACTGTCCCAAATCAATTCAGCGCTAATTCAGAGAGATTTAGTGATTCGGCCATAGACTATAATGGAGAACTACTGAAATACCTATAACTTAGTCATTTTTTGTTAGATTTGGATGAAAACAGTAGGAATGGTAGTCTCTTCTGAAGGCATGAAGTCTGCCAAGTTTCAAGGAGATAGGTGCAGGGGTTTCTGGGAAACTGCACCTCAAACTGCTGAAAGCAAAACTCATGATGTGTTACTTTGTGTGTGTGTTAAGGCACAGCGGGATGAAAACAGGGATGGTAGGCTGTAACAGGGGGCCTTCCCAGTGCTCAGCTAAAAACAGTTCACAAAAGGCACAGAAAACCTGCAGACAGAGGCTTATATGCTGTTTCTACATCCCTCCCCCAGAGCACTGTGAATGAAAGGGGACTCGGGGAAAGGTCACAGTCAGTGGCCAGCTACAGATGTCAGTCTTTCCCCCCCTGCATCCTCCTCTTCCTTCTTCTTAGTTTCTGTTTCCCTGCAAGACCACCTTCTGCATCACCAAATCTCTGAATCTTTTTCCAAATCTTTTTCTTAATCGATTCAGAGGGTTTTTTTGTCTTTTGATTCGATTCAGATTTGGAGATTCGGCCTCTGAATCTGGCCAAATGTTCTCTGAATCAAATTGGTGACTGAAGCTTCACACACCCCTAATAGCAGCTGACTTTAACAATTTTCTAGAAATGACTTAATGCGGTGGACTTGGTGAATTACAAATCCCAGGGCCCCTCAGTGAAAAGGCCTTGTTAAGCCTTCTCATGGTGACATTTGAGGGGGCCTCAAGTTGAGCAGAGGCATAGTTCAACTCATTTTGCACACTGGGATAATCCCCCTGTGGTCTGGGAAATGAGATATGTGGCCAGGTGCTATAGAGTGTGTGGTGGGGGGAGAGGTGGTGCTGGGGAGAACTGAAGTAGGAGGGAAGTTAGCTTTACCTGCTCCAAGGACTCAAAGATTCTGGCTATTGCTTCTACACTGCTATTTGCCTACCCTGAATGCTGCTGCTCTGGTGTCCTGTGCCCAGCAGCTACTGTCTGGTATGCGGCTGCTGCTGCCACTGGGGCAAAGGCTCTCTGAGGAGGCCCCATTCCAGCAGCCCCTCTAAATTCAGTGCCTGGAGCTAGTGGGATGCTTGCCTTCTCCAAGTTATATGACTGTGTTGAGTGTTTCCGCTGATTGCAGGTGTGGCAATACAGCATGGGGAGAAAGCTTGCTCATCAATAGGGAAGCTTCAGCATTGCATAGGACAAAGCCAGTGTTTGTGTTATATTATGTGTTTAGGTATTTATATGTGCACATATTCATTATCAGGCAGTGTAGGTACTGGTTGAAGATATTTTTTAAAAATAGCTGTCCATCTCCAGTGGGTTATAGATCATAGTAAATGTTTGTTGGGGAGCCAGCATTGAATCATTTTGATCCATTATATTATGAAGCTTAACAGTGTGACATGCCTAAATGACAAAATACCAACTCCCTGTTGAAAATGTGAATTGCTTACAATTACTTTTCATTCAGAAAGAATGTATCATTTTGGAGGAAGGCTCCTGGAACAGAAATAGCATGATGGAGGATAAGACAAGCACATTTGAAGGTCACACACGGCTAGTGTCAAGACACTCAGACACAATCTTTAGAAATAGGAAGTATTTTTAAATATGTCTTATAGATTTTTCCCAGAGATCTATGTTGCCTAAGCAAGGTCTTGAGAAGACTGTCTTTTATAGTTCAAAGGCTTACTTGCAGAATTCGGATAAGTCATTGAAGGAAATGTCAGTTATATTATGATAGAACTTGAGTTGAAGCAAATAAATTTAAACAGAATACTAAGAGGTAAAAAAGTAGTTAGAATACTAAGGCCCCCTCTACACTTTGCACTTAAGGCATCATTAACCAGGTAATCATGCCTTAAGTTGTGACCCAGCTACACATTCAACCAATTAATGGTGTGATAAAATAAGAAATAAGCTACAAAGTTATTCTACAAAAAATATGTAATAACTTTGCAGCTTGTTCTAATCATGCCATTAATTCAATGTGTGGCCAAGTGCTTCCCTGTCGCTGGGAGTACCATCAACTGCTTGACTCCGAGCAGGGAAAACATGTTTGCTGTCATGCTTTCAAGCAACACAATTTCAGGACAGAACAATAATCCAGCATTAATACATATTTTTTCCCGCTTGTACAAATAGTCAATGCCCACTTGATACCATGGAGCTATGGGATCCTCCATGAGCATCATGGGCTCTTTTCTTTGAGCTGATCTGTAACTTTAGACACATTGTACAAGCTTTTACAGCATCTTCTATGTCATTATTTATGTTGGACCAATATACAGCACCCCTTGCTCTCTTGCATTTTTAATGCCTAGGTGCCCCTCGTGTATTCTGTTAAACATGTCTGTCTTTAGCACTGCTGGAACAACAAGTTATGAGCCTTTGAACAAAATGACATCTGATACTGACAGCTCTTCCTTGAACTGAGAATAAGGGCTAGGTATATGTTTTCCAGGCCAACCAGCAGAAAAGCTATTATTACCAGGGATCCTGGTTTTCATTGATTTAAAAAAAAATCCCCAATTTTCCAATTTAAAAAAGTAACCCTAAATCCACATTTCCCCATACTTAAAATGAAGCACCACTTATATATATACACATACATTTGCAGTGGATTTCGGGTTACTTTTTAAACTGGAAAATTGGGGACTTTTTAAATCAGAGAGAACCAGGATCCCTGATAATCAGAGCCCAAATAGTATTAGGTATAAGGTATAAGGTATAAGGGATACAAGCTTTAGGAAAAGACTGCTATAGGATCCTGAGCTTAATTTGGAAAAGGCAGCTGAGATAACAAATGCCAGGCTACAGAAGTTTGAAGAAAAACCAGAACAAGATGAACTAGACAGGATTACAAGGCTGCAAAAGCCTAACGTAACACACAAACAATACAGAAAGGAGGACCTCACTATGAAGTAGGCAAGTGGAGGCAAAAGAAAATTGCTTGAAGAAGCAATGGTCAGCTGCAGATGCTGTGGGGGTTATCACAAACCCATGGAATGCCCTGCATTTGGTAAGTACTGCAACAAATGCAAAATATTTAATCACTTTGCAAGAGTTTGTAGAAAGGAGCAGGATGCACTATGTGAGAAACAGAAGGTGCATGCTGTATGCAACAAGGAAGAGAAAATTCCTCATTGGCACACTGCAAGAAGAAGTTACTTCTTCTGAGGATTGGACAATCATGCTGGACACCAGTGAACTAACAGTAACTTTTTAAAATACACACAGGAGCACAGGTCAATGTAATACCAAAATATATTATTCAAAAAATGAAAACTAAACCTGTGTACTACGAGGATAAGGAAGTGAGATTTAGAGCATATAATTACTGAGTTGAGAACATGTAAAACTGTTTGATTAAGAGAATAGATGCTATTGAGGGACTAGAAAGCAAGAACATAGAAGAAGAGTTTTATGATGTTTCAAGGCATAGGGAAACTGTCAGCTGAATACAAGATAAAATTGAGAGAACTAAATACTTCCACCATACCTGCTCTAAGAAATGTTTCCCTTGTACTAAGGGAGAAGGCAAAAAAGGAATTAGATAGATTAGTTAACATGGACATAATAGAAAAAGTAGAGCACCCAGCTGTTTGGGTTCATTCAGTGGCCATAATAGAAAAAAAAGATGGATTCTCAAGATTGTGTTTAGATCCTAAGCAACTGAACAGACACATCAAAAGGAAGAATTATCCCATTCCCACCAGTGAAGAGGTTTTTGGCAACGTGGCAGAAGCTAAATATTTCTCCTCTTTGTATGCCTCTTCTGGGGTTTGCAAATTCCCGCAGAAAAGAATAGCACTAGATACCTTCATTACACCCTTCAGAAGGTATTGCTTTCATAGGTTTCCTTTTAGATTGTGTTCTGCATCTGAACTATTTGACAGAAAGTTGCAACATTTTTGAAGGTCTTGATGGAACTATGGTTTATATTGATGATGTTAGTTTGGGGAAATATTATGGAAGAACATGACCTGAAGCTAAGATAGAGCTTGCAGAGCAGGTTTGAAATTGAACAAACAAAAATGTAAATTCAGGATCAAAGAAATAATATATCTGGGAGAAAAGCTCTCTGAGAAAGGGGTAAAAATTGATCCTGGAAGTGTGAAAGCCATTACAAACATGCCACCCCTTACGAATAAGGAAGGAGTGCAAAGATTACTGGGAATGATCAATTTTGTAGGGAAGTATCTACCTAACTTAGCAAAGCAGGCCAAACACCTTAGATCACTCCTACAAAAGAATGCTCAGTGGATCTGGGAATGTGAACATGAAGCTGAATTTAAAAACTTGAAGGAAAAAACAATGACAGCTCCAGAACTAAAATATTATGACCCTAAAAGACCCATTAAATTGTCAACAGATGGTTCTAAAGAAGGCATTGGAGCAGCTTTGCTTCAAAAACATGAGGATAGCTGGAGACCAGTGGCATATGCACTCTCTAAGTCAGAGTCTATGGGTGCTTGTACATGTGATGGGGATTTAGTCCTCAGGGTTTTATTCTGTGGCCCCAAAATTGACATGGTGTGTTTTAATTTGTTCCGTCACTGTGTACAAGTCACAGGTCTTAAACTGAATAAATCTCAGTATGTTATTCACAGCAAATTACTGCAGGGGGTGCTGCATAACAATCCACCCTGCTGATTTCTCTGGTACTGCATTACAGCAGAGGGTGCTGCCAATCTGCTAATCCCCGCTACAGACTAGTCAGTGATTTTTAGCTCACAAGTTGCTGACATGTATGGCTGACTGACACTGATGTGACTTCATTAATTAAAAAACTTAATTAAGTTCAATTTCACTTTTTAAACTGCCCCTCCATGATTTGCCTCCCACACTCTGCAGCTCAGGGTTGTCCAGCCTGCTGGCAGCTTGCCCCCCCAGCCACGGGGGGTGGTGAATGGGCTCCGCTGAAAGCAGGATCAGGTCCCTTGCCATTTCTGCCTGATTGCCAGCGGTCTCATCAGCTCATAATCCACTCCCTGTTAACGCAAGGACTAGAAAAACACTTGGCCACCTTATATAGGCACCTGGAAGCAGTTTCATTTGGTCTTAAGATTAAATGGCGGTTGCCCAGTCCCAGGAGAGCAGTTCTACTCTGCAGGCCCCGAAAAAGGAGAACAAAGCAGCTCAGCCTGGCTTGAGTATCTGCTAATTCCTGCATTGAAGGAAACACGTGCCCATCAAGCTTCTGCAAGTCCCTCCCCTTGCCCTATACACACAGGGAACACAAAGTCAAGGAAACAGAAACCTTTACTTACATAATTAAACATATGGTACATATGAAGCAAAATTTATATTATTTGCATCCACTGAACAGCATTTATAAGATAATGACAAGCAATAAGCAATAACCAGTACTAAGTAAACAATTGAAGGAAGGGAATAGAACACATCATCTGTAAAACACATATAAACAAGAATTAGACAAATCAACAAACAACTTCTATAACAAATAAACAATAATCATTTCTAAGTTTCTGAGTCTGACTACTCTTCTCTCCTCTGTGTCTGGGAATGTCTCCTGATTTTCGAGCTTGACTGCCATTCTCTCCCTCTTGTCTGGGAATACCTCCTGCTTTGGTGCCCAGATGTGAATCAGCCAGTTAGGAGCTGTCTGGCAATCTTGCTCAACCACAGCTCACAGCTATGGAGAGCATTTACTATGCTTTCTGTCTGGGCACCAGCAACAGCCTGCCTATCTGGCCTGTGTCTGCTCGGTGGTGGCATACCAAGTGGAACTGAAAATCAAGAAATGTGGGAAATACAGACTTTTTAGAGAGCTCAGCAGTCAGGTAATCTTGCAAGTGGATAAGAAGTAGTTGGGCCAAAATGAAGGAGAAAGGGGTGCCTGGCCATAGCTGTTGCAGGTCCTGAGTGGCTGCAAAGAATTGCCCAGCACAGCCTCCCTACTGTGTGTTGCCCTGCACCTCCCTGCACTGCCCACTAACTCACAGGGTCTTTAAATTATTGTCCTATGCCAACCAATCCCCTCCCTTCACCTCCCAACCCAGCCTAATTGCAGCTGGTAGCTCAGATGACAGGTGACTTAAAGGGTCCCCAGGGCTTCACGTACAGGGTGTGGAGGTCCAAGTCTGTGGTCTATCCTCCATGGAATCCACAGGTGGCATTACTGGGACCCTGCTGGTTTCTTATTCACTTGAGCCACCATGAGTAGCTGCTGTGGTTGGTGAGGTCTCAGGAGCAGAAGACAGCTTGGAGACCTCTGTCTGTTTGTTTTCAGGGTGATTGAGTGCCTCCGTTAGCAGGTGGAGGTACCTATAATGCAACATGTCACACGGTGGGAGGCCCTACCACTGTGCTTTGGCTACAACTCTGTGGAAAGTGGCACATTGAATGTTGACCCAGCACTTGGCCACCATCTTGTTCTTCTCCTGCTTGCCAAGTCTCCTTGCAACATCAAGGAAGATCTGCCAGTTCACCTGTGGGCTGCAGATAAACTGGCATTTTTTACATTAACCCCCCCCCCGGTGGCAGCAGAGCTGCCAGGTGGCCAGGTGCAGGCTGGCCCCTGCACTGCAGGGGCCAGCTGTCTCCTCCTGGGGAACCTGCTGCTGCTGCTCCCAACTGTGCTAAGCTCCACCACTGCTCACAGCAACTGGCCTGGCTGCTGGGCTACCCATGTAGGTGGTCTGAAAGAGGAGCCTGTGATTGGTTAGCTGCAGCACCCAGTAACTCTCTGGGCGAGCTCTGGCAAATTCACCAGCAGCAGCTGCTGTTCCCCAGAGGTGGGGGAGGTTGACTCAGGCAGAGCTGGCAGTGGGGTTGGAGAAGGGGGATCCCCGCTTGTCTCCTGATCAGTGCCACTGCCTTCCCCTCCCCTGGGGACACCCACTGGAGAAGCCATTTGGCAAGTGTCCCCCAGGTCCAGCACCCACTTCTGAATGCCCCATGTTCTCCGCATTGTTGTATCACAGAGATCAGGCAGTCACCTTCTTCCCCACCACCCCATGCACCCTAAGAGGGTCCCTGCCTCCTTCATGCATATCCAGGGTGCATGTCAGGGCCTTCTTGCCTCTCCAGCCCCTTAAAATACACCTGGGGGGCCTGAGGGGAAGGGCCCTGACCCCTGTTCATGGCTGTGGAAAGCCCATGAGGAAGGGAAGGCAGAGAGCAGGGCTGTGCAGCACCAGCCCCTGATTCATTTCATGGGGATGGGGAGGACTGTGTGTATGACCCTCAGTTTCATGAAGTCCCTTATGCATGTCCCAGCATGGAGGTGACTGGCCCTGGGCCTTTCCCCCTCATCTTTATGCAGTAGAACAGGGCCTGAAAGTTTCAGTTCTTGGAGAAGCTGTGCAGGGGGTTCCTCTCTGGATCAGGTCATGGAAGTCTAGAGAAGAGTGGGGCTGGGAGGGACCTGCAGGGGTCACATCAAGCCACCCCCTGCCTGAGGAAGGAGCATCCCTGTCCAGACCATCCTGTATGCACCCATACTCTAACCTCTACATAAGATAACTGGCAGCTCTGACGCAAGGCTCTCCCGCCTCAGGTGCTCAAATGGCAAGTGGGGTGGGGAAAAGCCAGGCAGACCGCTCAGGCCAGCGTGGGGGTTTAAACCCCTCCCCAGTCATACTCAACCAGCCGGGGCCTGGCCATGTCCCCCCTCAGCTCAGCTTCTCTCTAGCCTTCTGGCCACTGCAGAAGGAAAGGGAGGGCTTGCTCTAGTGCCCCATAGATTCTAGTCTGAGCCACTTCAGGCATGTGCCTGAATTTCCAGATTCAGAAGTTAATGTCTATTCACTTGTTTCTTGGTTCAGCTTACGCAGGTTAGACTAACCTGCAAAGATCGAATTGATATGGACTCAGGATTTTTTAAGTGTCTGTACTTAGCCACAAAGCCCATTTCCACACTGGATGATCAGGTGGAACTTTAACAGAGCTGTTTCTAGTACAAGCAATCCAAAACACATGTTTTCCTAAAGATGTCATGTAATAACAAAGTATGCGGAACAACAAAAAGGTAAGGAAGGACAATAAGGAAATGCAACATTCATATATATGTAATACCAATCATTTAATATGCATATGGCACAGAGAAATAAGAATGTTGGCACTAAGGTTGTGGAAAATGATAGTGATGTCACTGAGCTTGTATTCAGCTATGAAAATTTGAGAGAGAGACAAACTTTCAAACCAAACATCCATTTTACTTGAGAATAGATCTGGACATTGATGCACAGTAAAATATGTTCTTTCTGGTTTTTTGGTGTGTTCACATTATGCTCATGAGGGATATTGCCTTAAATAAAAAAAACCCCAAACTCTACCAAACAGTTCAATTCATTCTCTAGAGTCTAGAACTATAATTTCACCATACAATTGTACTGGCTAAAGAAGCAGCAGGAAAGAAAGTACTGCTAATCATATTTTTAGCATTTGCCTTCAAGGTGACTATGCTAGAGTAGTTTTAAGGTCACTGTGAGTGAAAAACAATTGATGGATGAGAAGTAGTAAGCAGGAAAGCTTTAGTTTCAAATATTGGAATAACTCAAAATGTCCACACTTTAATTACTTTTGTCAAAACACATATTTTAGATGCAATCAGTTCACACCACTGTTGTGCAATGTCACAAAAAATTGAAAACTCGAAATATTTTTTTAACAGCATTGCATTTTGCCACCCTGTACTGTTGGCTGATTGCTGAAAATTTATGTTTGCAGGTGTCCGAGTAGAACTTAACTTTGGACTGGTTTATTAAACATTTATTTCCAGATGAGGGGAAAAAAGTGAAACTAAATTTACTGAAAAAAAAAAGTAAAATGGAACTAAATGAGTAGTGTTAAAATGTCAGTAGAATTACACACACATATATATATATACTAATACTTCTAATATTAAGACACCCAATGCAGTTTAGTTCAATATGAATTCATTGCATACCATGATAACAGAGACAGGTTGTAGCATGACAGTGATAAATTCAATAGACTCTGGGTACATGTACACATACTATTAGCATGTAGCCCAGGCTCTGACCCTCCCACAACCCACCCTGGCCACAGAGCCACATTCACCTGAGCCCCTGCCTCTGTCTGCCTCACTCCCACCCTCACTGCAAGGGCCTCGATCTGCCCCCCAACCCCTTCCCCTAACAGAGTTACATGCTGGGGAGAGGGTGCATGTGCACAAGCATGCATGTGCTCAGCCCCACCCCCATCATATTTTCTTCCTCCATCTATGCATGTGCGTCCCAGATCTGTGCCCAGGGCAAGGGCGGGCTGCTATTGAGGGCTTTGCCCTGGGCACCAAACTTCCTTGTCAAGGCACAGTGTCACCATCTACATGTGCTTCCATATTACGCCCATTTACATGTGTGTCTGTACATGTGTGCCTGTATTTCCTTATTGTCCTTCCTTCCTTCCTTTTTTGTTGCTCCATACTTCTTTATTACATGACATCTTTTAGGAAAACGTGTGTTTTGGATTCTGTTTGTACTGAAAATAGCTCTGTTAAAGTTGCACCTGATCATTATTCATATTAGCTCAGCTCTAGTCAACTCAGTGGGAAAGTGCATGTGCTGAGGTGCCCTCTGTCAATTAAGTAAAATCAGAATAACTGGAAAAGTTAAGTACCAGCCAAGATAACATCTGACTAGAAAACAAAACAACCTAAATCTGGGATTCAAAAAGAGATTTATGCTCACTAGTCACTTTTTCTATTCTGATTTTTCTAAAATGAATTTTATATACATGTGAAATGCTAGGTGTTTTGGTTCAGATCTATGCATTCTAGCACTCAGGCAATAAAGGGTCTAGATATTTAAAAACACACTTATTGAACAAGCTTATTATGTCTGCCATTTTGAATGAAATTGGGGTATTAGCATCTGAATCTTATCTAAAGCTATTTTAGATTTAGAAGTTTGCCTAAAAGGCCAGAAAGTTGGAGATCTTGCATTCTAGCTCCTCTTTAGAACTGTTTCCCAGGATAGTGCCCTCATCATTGGGCTATAGTCATGCTCCTTCTTGCATGCTAGCTTTCTGGAGTCTGAATTTTTTGCTTCAGTGAAGTAGCTTCAACAGAAAAGGGTGGACGGTGCTATTAGTTTATTCTGGTATTTTCCTGGGGAGGGGAGATGCACAGTTAAGCCCTCTCAAGCTGCATAGGGCTTAGGTCTCTTAATGCCTGAGCCAGTGATCGATCTCAAGAATTCAGATGAGTGGCGTAGGAACAGTCCATTTTGCTGGATGACTAGCATGGGACTGGCCCCATGGGCTGGATTGGTCCCGCAGACCCCTGCCTCCCCACCTGGCATCCTGGATTTGGTGCTCATAGTGCCTCCTCTGGCTAATCTGGGATGTGAGCCACATGTGGTGACCACTACAGCCAGTCCAGAGTGGGTATTGCCTATAGCACAAGTCCCAGACTGTTTGGGGTGGGCACCACATGTGGCTGGTTGGTCCCAGACTGGTTGGAGTGGACACCACAGACTGACCACCCCTTCTTCCTCCTCTTGGACTTGTCCGGGACTTACACTATAAGTGGTGCCCACACCTGACCAGCTAGAGTGGGTGCTGCTTATGGAACACATTCTGGACTGGCCAGAGCAGGAATCATAGGCAGCACAGTCCTGGATCAGCTGGAGTGGCCACTGCAGGTATTGGATCCAGCATATGGGAGAGGGGTCCTAGACTGGTCCTGGGTGACTGCTGCATGCAGTGTGGATCCTAGAGTGGGCACTGTGTGTAGCATGTGTCCTGGGACTTGTGTGTGTTGGCCAATGTGACTGCAGAGCCACTGGCCATTATCTTTGAAAACTCATGGCAGTTCAGATTATTGGAAAAAGGCAAATATAGTGCTCATATTTAAGAAAGGGAAGAAAGAGGATCCATGGAACTAGGGAACAGTCAGCTTCATTTTAGACCCTGGAAAAATCATAGAGCAAGTCCTCAAGGAAGCCATTTATAAACACTTGGAGAAGAAGGTGATTAGGAACAGTCAAGGATTCACCAAGGGCAAGTCATGCCTGACCAACCTGATTGCCTTCTATGACAACAGGACTGGCTCTGTGGATGTGGGGAGACATATAGCAGTGGATGTGCTAAACCTTGATTTTAGCAAGGCTTTTGATATGGTCTCCCACAACATTCTCTCAGGCAAACAGGGGAAGTATGGGTTGGAAAAACTGAGGAAAAACTTTCTCATGAGGGGAGTAGAGCACTGGAGCAGGTTACCCAGAGAGGGTGTGGAATTTCCATCCTTGGCAATTTTTAAGACATGGCTAGGCAAAGTCTTGGCTGAGATGAACTAGTTCGGGATGGTCCTGTTTTGATCAGGGGGTTGGACTAAAGGAGCTCTTGAGGTCCCTTCCAACCCTAATTTCTATGATTCTATATGGGACTGCTCCAGCACCCACTCATGTGACATCTGAGTCAACTCAAGACCCAAGGCCAGCACCAGTATGATGTGGCTCTGCTGGCTCTATCTTTGACACCCCTGCTCTAACCACTTACCAAATATTGATGTGTCTTTTTCCTTCTCCTTCTCCTTCCTTCTACAGTTTAATAAGACCACACTTTAGGCAGTCAATATTAGGCAGGGATTTCAGTCTGTGAACCCCATCTTAATGGAAATACCTTGCCTGAGTCTTCAGGAAACAGCAGATTTTTTTCTTTAATCTGAGAGATTCCAATCACTTACACACACACACGAGATTCCAATCACTTACACACACACACACACACACACACACACACACACATCCTAACGGTACCTATTGGCTGGACTATGCCTTTCCTGTATAGCAGGTTGGTTGCTGTGAATTTCAATAAAAGGGTGCATAAGCCTTTTCTGTTCAAGATATAGATACCTAGGGTGAAGAACTCATTTTTTAAATTTAATTTAAGGACACACATGCCCAAATTTTAGATGCGATAACACAGCATAGCTGTGACTAGATACCTGTTTTGAATCTGTACATAAATGATCACACAATAACTTCTTAGTATATTTCTCTAGAGAGAAGAATGTCTAGTCTTTCTGAATAGATTAGGTGTTGTTCAGAAAATCCATCACATCACTGGAAAGAATTTTCAAGCTATACACAGTATAAAAAAAAGGAATGATGAACCTAGCACTTGGTTACATCATTGCTGACTTGTGGGATGGGCCATACACATCAATCAGGTAGGTAACATCAGAGCAACTACACAGGGAATTATTAATGTTTGCTGAACTCCTTATGATGCTTGTTCTGCAGCTGGTAACTTCAAAAGATCCACTAAACTTTTAAAATTGTAGAATACATCCTACAGGAAAGCATTTTAAGCAAAAATTAAAGTGTCAAAATTAAACACTCATAAGTCAGGACATGAAATGGGTATGGTTCCAATCCTGGTGGTGAGATCTATGTGAGTGAAATCCTGTACCCACGTGGAATTCATTGATTGAATGGGACCCAAGGGGCATTTATACATTTGCTCCAGGAGGCTTGGGGGCGGTGGGGGGAGAGGTGCTTTAATTAGCACAGCTCTGGGGGCCACACTTATTAAAAGTGCCCAAAGTGTCACGTGTATCAGCATCCCCACACTGTAAAATGGTGGTGGGGTGCTTTGAACTAAAGATTGTTGAACAAATTTTAGTTTAACATGCCCTGTCACAGTTTTCTAGTGCAGGAACACTGATGCACATGACACTGGAGGCTACCGGAACACATTCATTTCCACACTTCAGCAGGCTGAATTAATCAAGTCTGCTCTGTCGTGCTGGAATTACACAGCGTGCTAGAGCAGGCTCCCTGCACATGTATAGAAGCCCAAGGAGTCCATTTCCACTCTATTGCCATTCTGTAGACACATTACAAAATATTCTTTAGTTATTTTGTTTCTGAAATAGTGCTCAGAGACCTTGTTCAGGTCCTAGGTATAGAACAACATTTTTTAAAGACATGAAGTAGAATCCTCTTTTTATTGATGGCCAATGTAGGATTCTTGTTTACTAATGGGATGAAAGTTTTAATCATGGTTCCTGCATTGTACTACTTAGAATTTATGTTCTTGGTCCTACAAGTACTTAGGCATCTGTTCAGTTAACACACACACAAAGAAAATTATTAAAATTAATTTTGGTGCTACATAGTCCCAATTATAGAAGTCAAATTATTTCTTAGTTTATCCGACCAAGGTTAACAATACACCTCTTCTAAGATGATCTTTATAAAATTTACAAAAAAATATGACCACTCTTCATTTAAGATCAATTACTTGCTTTTAAGCGGGACCAGTAGCCTTTTTAGATAATCAGAAATCTCTGGTAAAACATAAATGTAATTTGAGGGGGAGGAGGATGAACACATGCTCATCTGAAGTCCAGTTTCATTGAAATGGTTGTTAATATGAATTTTAAAATGGATTTAGGGCAGAAAATAAGCAGTAATAACTTACCTATTATAGAACGTGACAACAGAATATCTGCCCCTTGTAGAAATTAGGTTTTCATTATTTATGTCTTCTTCTGTATATAATGCATATAGTAGATTGCATATATGCATAATTCATTTTCCATCACAGGCAATAATTATTCTACATTTTGTTTTACTTCAGTTTCAGAAACTAAGTATTTCAAAATCTGACTTCAAAAAGGCAAAAGGCTATATTCTCTTCTCTTCAGAGCAGGAAATAGAATTAGTTTATCAGAATGATCCCGTAGAAGAAGGCTTCCAGGGAAATGGAAAGAACACTATTAAGTCATTTAATCTGCACCCCACACCTTTCTCCCTGTCGGTATGTATAAACATCAAAAGCCTATGATTTGGTAGACATACTCAACTTAGTTTTTACTATCCACTTGGGTACTACTGGCATGTTAGCTGCAGGAGCATGGAAGTAAGTGCAGGCTAACTGCCTTGGTATTTACTCACTTTTACTATTCTTAGTGGAAGGAAGAATGCTACCTAACATTTAAGTCTTTGCTAAATGTCATATGCATAAAATAGCAGTAATATAATCACAATTCTAATAATTTATTTGAGCTTTCAGATATCAGGAACTATTTCCCTCAAGATGCTCTTAAGAAACTGAGTGCTGATTTGATAAGAAGTAAAATTGTGTTGTGGATCACAAGCTAGCTAAGAAGCAGAACACAAGAAATAGGAATGAGTGGTTAACATTCAACAGAATGAATGGTTAA